TCCACACCACACAAATCATCAAGGTATGAGGCAGAAGCCATTTCAGTATTTACATTATAGGAGAGAACATTAGGGGGCTCTTAATGAAAGCCACGGGACGCGGGTGGCGCTGTGGTTAAACCACTGAGCCTAGGACTTGCCGATCAGAAGGTCGGCGGTTCAAATCCCCGCGATGGGGTGAGCTCCCATTGCTCGGTCCCTGCTCCTGCCAACCTAGCAGTTCGAAAGCACGTCAAAGTGCAAGTAGATAAACAGGTACCGCTCCGGCGGGAAGGTAAACAGCGTTTCTGTGCACTGCTCTGGTTCGCCAGAAGCGGCTTAGTCATGCTGGCCACATGACCTGGAAGCTGTACGCCGGCTCCCTTGGCCAATAAAGCAAGATGAGCGCCGCAACCCCAGAGTCGGCCATGACTGGACCTAATGGTCAGGGGCCCTTTTACCTTTACCTTTAATGAAAGCCACAAGCCCTACTTACCCAACTCCCCCTCTCCAATTTCAGTCAAATCATACCTTCCCTTGTAGTGTTCTAAGAATGCTGGCTAAGTTGGCCATCCCTGTAGTATCCCATGGGAATTCCTCACTTTGTGAGGAAAACCTTACAATGGATTTGCCCTAATCTCGGGAAGTTGTATTTATTTATGAACAACGGAAAGGCAACTGAGCCTAGCAGCTAGAACTTGCTAACCAGGCAAGACTAAGGTTCCCAGCAGTTCCCCCCTGAGGTATGAAGGGAACCACACTCAAGAGAAGAGAGGGGAGTAATAAATGTATTAACAACAACACATCAGGTATGTCTCCTAAAGAGACTGCAATCACAAAAGTTAAGTCCCCTCTGCTCCACTTGTCTACAGTGGATCTTCCCAGGGAACTCTGACAATTGTAGCTTTGTGAGGGGAAGCAAAAAACACGGAATTTGGGGAAGGGATAGGGCCAACCCAGACTTCTTTGCTGCACAGCAAAGGGGCATTTCCCCCTACCTGCCCCCTTAATCTTCTGCCTTGATCAGGACACTTGGGTTACAGATGCAGTGCTGGGTGTGCTGCTCTGTCAAGTCTCCCTGCTGCTGGCCAGAGGTTATTATTGCAGCATTAGACTTTTTACAGGGCAAACTGCTGGCAATAAGGCAACCTGCTCACCTGTCATCACCACTCAGAAGCCAGTCCCACTCTGTTCAATTGGGCTTTTGCCCAGAAAAGCATGCACAGGACTCTATAACCTAGGTATGTCATCTAACAGTTAAAACGAACACTCAACATTTTCCCAGGAATGTCAAGCTTTCTAGCTCCATCCTCCCTGCAGCTCAGGCTCCCTTTAGTCAAAGAGCCTATTGTGGCTTGCCATTATGAGCAAGCTCTTTCAGATAGCATCGTTTCTGAAGTCTGCGTTCTCAGTTACCTAAGATTCTTTTTGTGGCTACAACAAAGGCATATTGGAAGTGAACGATTAATATTCAGGCTCTCAATTCCTTTCCATTTCATGCACTGAAAGCTGGAGCCTTAAGGTGCAGGAGCTGTAAATGCAACTGCTGGTAACCCTTCAATCGCCTTCCCATGGATCACTTTGCTTCACATACTGTACTTGCTAGTTATCAGTCATCTCTAAAGCCTGGCTAGCAGGATTACCTGTATCACATGGAGAAATGATAAAAAAGGTACATGGAAAAATGGTGTGTGGGGGGGGATAATGGTGCACATACGATGGTCGTGCTTTTGTAGTTCAATTTGTTCTTTGCTGGCTACAATCGATACACACGTTCTTCACCTTTGGTCCTGCCTCTTCTTTAAAGAAACAGGCATGGAAAGACTGTATAAATGGCCCTTCAGGCATCACAGGTTTAAGAAGGTTCTCATCTAACTGGAATGGGTTCAGAGGAGGGCAACAGAGATGGCCAGCAATATGGAAACAAGGAAAGGCTGGAGGAACTGGGCATGTTCAGCTTTGGGAAGACTGGGCAAGGAGGGGATAGCATTCTTTCAAATACCTGAGAGCTGCCATGTAGCAGAGGGCAAAGACTGGCTTGTTGCCGCCTCAAAAGTATGGGGTTAGCTCTCCATGGGTTTAAGTCACTGGAGGTTAGATTCCAGTTAAATAGGAGATGTTTGTGTTTGGCAATGGAACCAATTGCCTAGAGGGTTGGTAGGCTCTCCTTTACTGGAGACGAAAGAAAGGGGAGCCTATACCCCTCCAGCATCATAGCTCGCATGATCAGAAGCAAGAGTGCACTGGAGAGCCAGTGTGGTGTAGTGGTTAAGAGCGGTAGTCCCGTAATCTGCGGAACCGAGTTCGCGTCTCCGCTCCTCCACATGCAGCTGCTGGGTGACCTTGGGCCAGTCACACTTCTTTGAAGTTTCTCAGCCCCACTCACCTCACAGAGTGTTTGTTGTGAGGGAGGAAGGGAAAGGAGAATGTTAGCCACTTTGAGACTCCCTAGGGTAGTGATAAAGCGGGATATCAAATCCAAACTCTTCTTCTTCTTCTTCTTCTTCTGCTTGTGGCTTCCCATAGGCCAGCCACTGTGGACTAGACGAGCCTTTGGTCTGATCAAGCAGAGATCTTTTAATGGTCTGCATCTTCTGAGGGGTTTTCTCTCTCGATTTATAGCATTAAAAAGAGGCAATGTCGGGGAAAACAACTGTGCAAAGCCAGGAACTTTTAAACAAACTTTTGTTTACACAGTGGTTACTCTCCCTTACAGGCCCCTGCTCACCCAATAGTTCATAGCTTCCTTAGCTCGGGGCAGGGTGGACGAGGAGAGAATGTCACTGAAAGCTTTCAGAGAAAGAAAATAATGCGTCTCAACAGCTGGCAGTCATAAGAGCCAGATGTGATGCATAAACTCACATTCTCTAGAAAGAGGAAAAACCAGGAAGGGTTAAACTTTCCCCAGAAGTCATTTAAGTCCCCTCAGAATTCGTTATCATTTAAAAGCCATTAAGAAGAATGTTTTAAACACAACTGAAAGCTTCCAGTATCCAGAACAGTATCTTGTTTCTCTTTAAAACTTGAAGGAAAAAATTATCCCGACAGCTCTTACTGCATGTTTCCAATAAAGCGTAGCTGGCTTGCTGAATGCCCAAAATAATGACAGTCTGACTTCTATAATGCAGCCGTTCACTAGCTAGATCTAAGAACGGACACAGAAGGCCTCATTGTTATAGGCAGAATGTAACTTGGACAGATGTTAGGAGGGTATTGTGTAAACGAAAAGCCCTACAGTACTTTAAGAGACTAGCAAATTGTATTATGGACTAGAGTCATGAAAAAGCAAGTAAGGTGGGACAAAGCTATTAGCAGGGGAATTTTGCAAACAGACAGACAGCCAATAACCAGAAGAGCTTAAGATCTCTCTTTTTCATGGCACCAGTCATATGATAATAGGTGCACTGGTTCCCTGTTTTTCTTTCACTAACAGGTGAAATGATTTTGTATGCTTTCAGGCCATGGATGTGGATTTCTCCAAGTTGCGTCCTGCTTTATGGCCTGGGTTCTGGTCAGTTTTCACCCTGTTTCAAATTAAAAGGAAATACCAAAGATACGGCGTTTTCTTTACCTATTCCATAAGCCCTCCAAAACAACTATTGTCCTATGTCGGTTTGAATTTTGTTACTGTTCCCTATTGTTTGTAATTTGTTTTATCGCTTTCATACATTATCTGGTTTCATTACTGGTCACCAGCTTTAAGTTGCAAAGCCCTCTATGTGCTTCATAGAGATACTGGGCTCAGATCCAAACCGAGAGTGTTCTGCTCTCAGCCTTGACCTGCCAATTTACATCCAAGGCCAGCCAACCCTCTGGAGCAGCCCTGCAAGACGCAAAAGGGTCCTCATGAGGAAGCACTTTCCACTCAGGCACATCAAGGTTGTATCCCAACTATATTACTGGATCCCAGCGTTGCCTCTCCTTGGCATCCTCCCAGAAACAAGTGCAAACTTTTAATTAGGTGGGCTTTTGATGCTGGGATAGCATGAAGTTGTCCCAACTGCAGCATGGCTTTTTATGGTTGCAGATTGAAGACAAGGGTCCTTGATGTACCAGGCTTTACAATATAGTAAAGGTAAAGGGACCCCTAACTATTAAGTCCAGTCGTGGCCGACTCTGGGGTTGTGGCGCTCATCTCGCTTTATTGGCCGAAACCTGGAAGTAACCCGTTCCGATACTTCTGGGTTCAGTGCAGTGCGCAACCTGAAAACACGTAACCTGAAGTATCTGTAACCCAAGGTACCACTGTACACAACTTTTAGAAGACATCTGAAGTCAGCCCTGTATGGGGAAGTTTTTAACGTCTGACATTTTATTATGTTTTTATATGTGCTGAATGAGACCCATAGTGGCTGGGGAAATCCAGCCAGGTGGGTGGGGTATTCTTATTCTTATCATCATCATCATCACCATTCCCTCTCTTCCTCCCTGGTACTCTCCCCTACCCTCAATTTGCTCCAAAGGGTTGGAGGACTCCAACAGAACAGATTTTGAGGGTGCACAGGGAAGAGAGAGAAAGGGGAAGTCCCGTTGCTTGGGTGCAACTCTTATGAGTGGAGTGCTGGGTATAATGCACTTTAATAGATTTGCTTTGCTGCCATGAGTTGGCAGCAGGCAAGTTGCAACACCATTTCCAGCATCTGCACCAGAAGCATGTCTATCCAATATGTTGCAACGCGGCATTTGATGTCTTTCACAAACACAATGCTGACTAGTCAGCACGAAGCAATTGCTAAGGAAGACAAGCCACTTAGCTGAAGGAAAATCCATCCTCTGTGCTGATGTGCGAATGTAAGTCCAGGCTGATGGAACAGAGCATGCCTTTTGTTAAAACTGTGTGTGCCCTTTCAACACGGATCAGGCCTTCTAGGCTCAGCCCCATCAGCCTCTATGAGGAGTTTTAAAATAAACAACCCTTCTCAACTGCAATAGCAATTTCAAATGTTAAAATACAATGGTGTGACTAAAGCCAAAATTGATCTGAGAGTGAAAAGCTACTGAATTATATTTCATTTCTTTTTCAAAAGCTAGTGAACTGTCGTTCATTTTATATCTTTCCCAGTCACCTTTCTCCCTAGCATAGCTCCATAAAAGGAAGATGACTGGATATTCAAATACCAATTCAACCACAGCAGTCATTGAGTGGCTTTAAGCAAGGTGTCATCGTACTTTATTTAGAAATTACCTAACAGGCCTCTAGGTGCTGTGTACAACCAAAAATTAATAAAAACTACAGGACCCTGCCGGCAGGCTTACACTCTTCTCTTTGTGGCAAATCTTAGTAGAATGTTTTGCACCCTCCGCAAACCATCCCCCCCCCCTTTAAAGATAACCATATGTTCTTCAGCCCTTATCTCTGCATCATGGACTTGTAAAGATAATACATGTTTGCTCCTTTGAAACCTCAGTTATGCTGCTACTTCCTTGAGATGCAACAACATAAAACCCCACAGCATTTCATCTGATGCTTAAATCAGAACGTAGATAAATGCCAAACTATGGAAGGGCACAGAATTAGAACAGGAGCTCACACGAACGCACACAAGCAATTGAAAAAGGTACAATCGTGAAAAATATCCACTATGAATCCCAATTAAGTGCAGATATATATTTAAATATAACAAATCAAATTAAATAATTGAAGGTGTGCCAATTGAAATACATCTCCCAGACAAGGTATTCAAGTGTTAGTATGGTGTAAGATGATCAAACGTATCCATTCTGAAGGAAATCAGCCCTGAGTGCTCACTGGAAGGACAGATCCTGAAGCTGAGGCTCCAATACTTTGGCCACCTCATGAGAAGAGAAGACTCCCTGGAAAAGACCCTGATGTTGGGAAAGATGGAGGGCACAAGGAGAAGGGGATGACAGAGGACGAGATGGTTGGATAGTGTTCTCGAAGCTACCAGCATGAGTTTGACCAAACTGCAGGAGGCAGTGGAAGACTGCCTGGTGTGCTCTGGTCCATGGGGTCACGAAGAGTCGGACACGACTAAACTACTGAACAACATGGTGTAAGAACAATAAATCATGTTTCTGTAGCAAAGCTACAGGGGTCCACCCATTCTGCAGATGAGATGGGAAACAAGTGTATTCAGTGAAACTCCCAGAGTGCAAGACGCTTGTAGTGACGTATTTACAGGTTTCCAGCTTGTTGGGCTTCTAAGGAACTTTGAAGTTTTAGAGACAAACTCCTTGTGAATGGATATTAAAAACCCTAATTTGATATCAGAAAATGTAATTATCCGGAGTGCATTTTACAGAACAATGTAAATGATACAAGATTGGCGGGGGGGGGGGAGGAGACACTAGATTTTGGTCTTCTAATGAAACAGTCACACACACGTTGTATATGAAATGCATTTAAAAGGATGTAATGGAGAGAGAGAAAGGCGATAAATAGATTTACTTTCTCAAAACATTTGATTGTATTCAAAATTTATTTTTAAACAAAAAACAAGACAATGATTTTAAATAAACATGGTATTCTTAACATGTTGACAGACAGTTTAAATTAGCCATTGTGAACCGTTGCTCTGTTCTGTCACAGTGCCGTACTACAATATTTTCCAAAGTATTTCCATTTCATAATCAACCCGGATTTCTTATATAAGAAATCAAGTTGTTCATCTGAGTGAAGCATCAGTTTCCTTTAATTATAAAGGTTTCACTAATGCAAACACACATATACACACACACACACCTATTTGACACAATTCTTCATAGTGACAACACACACGCACACACACACACTGAAGTCTGTCAGGCCTTTTTGGTTTTTCTGTTACACTGCTGACATGGTGATTAGCATCAAGCTAGACCAGCTAAGCTTCACTTTAGCAGTATAATGGATGGCATCAACCAAACTTCACACAAAATAACCCCACACAAACATTATAAGCAAAATTAATCAAGACAACAGTGATAAAACAATGAAGATGACAAAAACGCAACTTGAGTGGGTCATAACCAGACTAGTTTGCTGTGTGCAGCCTTCCTCGGGAATTTCTTCCCAATTCACATGTAAATAATGGAACACACATTAAAAAGCCTCTGTTTGTGGAAATAAGATGCCCTTCAAAACATATTCTGTAATGTCATAAGGCAAATAAAGAGAATGCAGGATGAAAGGTTTTGGTCTAGGGAATGTTTCATAGGATCTGTCTACACACAAACATGCGCGTTCACACACGCACATTATTATATTACACGGTGTGTGTACAGGACAATTAAATGGACTGGCTCAGTAAACTGGAAAAAATGTACTTCTATAAATGCTCAGAGTTATTGCTAATATGCTACAGAGTAAGCTCTTTGTCACAGAAGTACCAAAACTTAGGATTTAAAGCTGCCATACTGGAATACACATACTTTTATGGTGACAGCATGCCATGCCCATTTGGAGGAAAAAGCAACATAAATACGGTTATAAAAAGAAAACAAAGGCTTATGTTGTGCCCCTCTCCATTTTGCTTTGCAACCAGAGTCTGTTTTAAACAAGTCCAGTTCACCACATTAACAGCTACCCCACAGTGAAAAACAAGCCAACAGGAGGAAACAGGGTAAGAGACAGCATGCATTTACAACTTGCTTATAACCTAGTCTTTTCAGTTGTTACAACTTGAATATAAAAAACCCAACTGAGAGACCAGATTAACTAAAGGAAGAAAAAAAGCCTAGAGCGGACCTAGTTTGATAGTTAAAGCTTACCATTCCATATCAGTAACAGCAAACTCATCTTGCATTTTAATATACTGACAAGTATCTATTGCAATCAGAGATTTAAGGATGACTAGTGTAAGAGAGAGACCTATGCCCACTTAAAAAAAGATACTAAATACCTGCATCATGAAATTACATTCTTAAGAAGACACAGTGTGTAAGAAAATAGCTCGTATGTGAAATGTTTCTGAAATGCATTCCCCCTCTCCCCATAACTATCAAACGTTCACTCACACACACAAAAAACACAAAAAAACCCCACCCTTTTAAAAAAGTCAAAATGGGAATGAAGGAGATTAGCTTGGCTAATTACAGCACAGTGATTTAAAATGGTTCAAGACAGAACCGATTAGAGTTGGCCAAAAAATGCCCTCTAGGCATAGCTAACCATTAATTCATCCCACCCACAACATCAAACTCTGTCCACTTTTGGCTCATTGCGGCGAGACCAAAGTTGTTTCATATATATATCTAAATACATACACACACATAGATACAAATTTCCAGCTTCAACTTGTAAGGCCTAGTTACCTATTTATACTTGCTCCGCAGCAACTACAAGAGGTAGGCATAGATCATCTAAAAGGCTTCTCTCCTTGTGCCCCGCCACTTGTGCTTCCCAAAGCTAACTGCACTTAAATAAAAATGCTGCTAGCCTTTCAGTGGATAAAATCCAGTGGCCAGAAGGCCCTTGGGGACAGAGTCATAGCTGCGCTCTTGCACAACTCCCTTTCATTTCCAGGGGACTAGTGTAGAACTTATTCCCAGTGGATTATGTCCTTTGATTAACAAAGCTTTTACTATACTGAAGGATACTGTCTTTAGAACTTGCTGCAGAACATTCCCAAGAAAAATGAATCCTGAAACCAATTCTCTTGATTTGATTTTGTACATAAAAACAAGATACCATTTGGCCAAGACTACAGATGTACTTTTTCACAGATGCAAGTGCCATGCAAAATAAATTAAAGAACAGATATGAAAACATACAGGTAATAAAACTATTGAAGGTAGATTTTTTAAAAGCATTTTATATAAACATAATTTATAATACTTTCTTTTTTTCTCCGTTTTCTTTTCTCGAAATACACAGTCACAAAGCTGTGGCTATACATCCAGAATTTCCTCTGCTGTGCCCCCACAGCGTAATCTGTAGCGTCCTGTCCTCCAGCTAATAGTAGGATCCCACAAGGCCGATAGGAAAATGTATATCGTCATAGACTCTCTGATGAACCATGCCACTGCATAGTCAAGTTTTGAAAAACACAGAGCACCGCCCTGGGGAATAGACAAAACAGATGTTCACATTTAGTGATGATGCCAACAACTAAAATAAATAATTATTTAATGAGCATAACTTAATCAAAAATAACATTACTTTAACATAGAAAAACTTAAGCAATTGCTCTTTAGCTCTGCAACACTATGGTGCCACTATTCCATGCAAAACCCAAGCTAACACTTGAGAAACATAGGCTAGTTCACGCATCACACTAAGCCAAACCACGGCACAGTGTGAACACATGGGCTCTAGAAGAGGAGACTACAATAATAGAATCACAGAACTGTAGAGTTGGAAGGGACCCAGAGGGTCATCTAGTGCAATGTAAGAATCTCAACAAAAGCATCCATGACAGATGGGCATCCAACCTCTGCTTAAAAATCAGAGACCACCGCCTCCCGAAGGAGACCATTCTGCTGTCAAATAGCTATTACTATGAGAAGGTTCTTCCTGATGTTTAGTCAGAATCTCCTTTCTTTTAACTGGAATCAATTGGATCGGGTCCTAGCCTCCAGGGTGGAGAAAACAAGTTTGCTCCATCTTCCATGTGATAGCCCTTGAGATATCTGAAGATGCTATCATCTCTCTTCTCAGATTCCACTTTCCCAGGCCAAACATACCAAACTCCCTCAACCATTTCTCATAAGGTTTCCAGACCCTTGATTATCTTGCTTGTCCTCCTCTGCACACATTCCAGCTTGTCAATATCCTTCTTAAATTGTGGTGCCCAAAATTGGACACAGTGCTCCAGGTGTGGTCTGACCAAGTGAAAATAGAGTGGTACTATTAATTCCCTTAACACCACACTAGACACTAGACTTCTGTTGATGAAGCCTAGAATAGCAGTAGCTTTTTTCTGCATTATACCGTTGACTCATGTTAAGCCTGCTAGATTCTTTTCACATTTACTACTAGCAAGCCAGGTGTCCGTCCCCCCCATCCTATATTGGACACACTGTCTTCCCTGGCCATTCTACTGCCACACTGTTATGGCATGGCTTATTATGCTGTCTGAACTTGTCTGCCAGACAAACTATATGTCGTAACCCATACGATAAATTTTGGCTACATATCATAGTTACTCTGGAGAACAGTAAACCATGAGCTTAAATTTGGATGACACACAACGGCATCAGCACAGCAACACAACGGCAGCGGAGGATAGCAGCCGCAATCTTCTCTCCCAGATCCCACACACTGACATGTTTGCAGTAAGCTATGGTTTGACTGAGCATGACATGCAAATCAGGCTAAACTCAATTTGATAAGGAATCTTTCCAAGGGCATACATGCATTTCATAATTGATGCTTACTGATTCTCCTTAGGAATAAACTATTGGTTTTTCTAGTTCAGAACTGTTCACTCTGAGTTGAGAAGGTCTTCAAAATGCTAAATACTAGTCTTTCAATCCTGCTACCAGAGATTCCTCTCAATTGGTGATAAAAAAAAACCTGGATTTGGGACCTTCTGCATGTATTCAGAAGTAGCAGGACTATGGCTACTCAGAGCAGCTAATCCTTCTATTGTTAGCTGAAGATGAAGACAACAGGTGCCTGTGCAGGTTTTCTAGTCAAGTAATATATAAAGCAGAGAGAAAGTAGCTGAAAAAGACATGAAGCTTCACAAAATTGTGTCAGAACTAACATCCCAGAGGGGTATTGGCATAGTTGAAGCAGGTATTATGCTTTCAACATTTTTTCAGTGAGGCCTGCCAGCAAATTAATTTATCACTCTTGAAGTTTAAATATACTCTTGCCTGTCTAATGAGCATACCGTTTGGTCAGCCAGCCAATTCATTCAGTGAAAGCATTAATTACATAAGAGGCTGTCAGTGCAGTTTCCTCCAAGTGATGTCAGACTACAGCTCTCATTACCTCTATACACAGCTATTTACAATACGTCTTCTAACCAGGATGAAAAAGTTCTAACACATTTTTTAAAAGTTACGTCAATCATTTCAGTTAATTTAGAACAGTACACATGTTAAATATAATGCTCTGATCAATACAACCTACCTGGACACCCCTGAGTTGAATGTAGTCAAATATAAACCATGCCAAACAGTGACACATAAAAAACACCATTATATCCCATCTGAACACATGGTGAACTGCCCATCCAATTATCAAGCTTGCAACAAAGCACTCCGATATCGGCTCACAGATTATTGTGGCTGGAACCATGTTGATCCGTAGCTTGGCCCATCTATAATTAAAAAGGGGGAAATGTATTTTAAACCTGACAATACTTGTCAAGTTATATTAACAAGATGCTATTTTATTTAAGATCATTTATAGAATGTGTTTCCATTGCAAATACCAAGGTTGTTAACAAAATAAAATCAACACAATGCAGCGATATACAAACATATCCAAAGTTCAGTAGTGGTATAAATGATCAGTGCCCGGAAATGTCTGCGTGAGGAGTTAGGTTTTTACCAGCCAGCAGAACACCTGCACCTTATTTCCCCATTGCATTTCTGTGTTTGGGGACTGAAGGCAATAGCTAACCTAGTATTTGGCATGCACAACACAAAAAATATCTGGGATGTAGAGACAAGCCAGGGAAAATGCTGGTACAGACTGCTAAACAAGTGAAGGAAAAACAGCTGGAATTCTACCTCTTTGAGCATACAAAGGAATCAATATGGAAGGAGAACTACTCAAAAAGAATGAACATTGTCTTTTTGAATGCCAATGTTACCTAGGAGGAAGTGAGAATAATAATTGAAGAACCAACAGGAGACAAATGCCCTAGTTTTGTTTGGTTTAGTAACTGTTAAAAAGGACTTAGGCTGCAATTATGCACACACTTTCTTGAGAAAAATTCCCACTGAACTCAGTGGGACTTGCTTTCAAGTTTATTTATTCTATTTAGAAGACTTCTCATAAAATAATTTATCCAGGAGGAGCATAAAAACCCACTATAATAAAAGCACAGTCAACATAAATACCCGAATGTAAAACTGGCACAATAAAGCCAGCAAACAATACTATATAGAAAGTACAAAGATAAAACGGCTCTCAAATACCTATGTACACTAAAACCACCAACAGTAGCACAGGATTTAACACAGCATCAAAAAGACGTTAATGCGGGTACCAGCCAAACTTCTCTAGAGAGAGCATTTCAGAGTTGTAAGGCCATCATCAAAATGCCTTCTTTTTTGTGTCCATCCTCTGAGCTTCAGATTGAGAGAGGATACAGAAGGGTCTTTGCACTACAGGTAGGTACATACAGGAAGTACTAAGTTCCCACACAGTGCAGGGCTTTATAGGTCCAAACCGGCACATAAACTAGGCCCAGAAATGAATCTGAAGCAAGCGCAGGAAAGAAAGGACCAGTGAGTTGCATTCATCGTGCCTGCTCACAGGTAACATGCTCACTGCCATATTTTGCACCAGCCGAAGTTTCATATAATACATTACAGCAATCCAAGCCATTACCAAATCATGCATGGTGACAGGTATCCATCCCTAAATAGGCTTCAAGCCAGGATACTAGCCTAAAATGAGGATACTTGAGCCTCTAATGACAATGATGGATATTTCAGAGAGAGTGCGACTCCTCCAGAAGAGGTTGAATCCCACTCGTGCTGAGTGGGAAGCCCTTAATGTATCATGGGTGAAAGCATCATTATTGATTAAGATGTGTTTCACTCCTAAGTAGCTGCATGACCCAAACACTTTCTCAAGGTAGACATTTATAAAACAGATGCTTTCCCCATTTTGTCTTTGAAAAGCCTCATGTCTTTTGAAAAAATAAGAGGATTGAGAAGAGTGTCCTTTAACTTATTTCTCTCTCTCTGGTTTAACCTGATTCATTTCTATACAGTGACATTTTGCAAGATGGCATAGGTATATATCCACGTTTTTCAAGTGAAAATACCATTCTGGCTATATAAGGACTGGCACTGTCTCTTAATCAGTGGTAAAAGAGGAAATGGTCATTATGATACAGCATAACTATCTACAAATCAGGTTAAAATGGATTAAGATAGATTCATTAGTGTTACATTAGGAAATAAAGGGGGAAAGAGGCGGGGGGAATGGTGAGTGGGGGTGGGGTCGGGTGGCGGTGTTTCTATTTTACTTAATGTATGTGTGGGGTTTTGTGTCAGCGTTGCTTGTGCAGGTTCTCTTTACTATTCACCTGTGTTCCTTTGAACAAGACATCAAATGTATTTACCCAAGATCTAGTAAACTAAGAAAACTGGTCACTTTGACAATGTCAGTATTAAGAGTGTGGAACAAAAACAAGGTTACTACCACTCTGTTAATCATTGTAATAGATCAGGCAGGATAAACTATTTAGAATAGATGACACCACCATCTATCAATGCACTTAGTTGAAGAAGGCAGAGTTACCTCATCAAGAAATAAGTGATTTCCTCTGTTCTAATTCTTGAGAATTGTTTACAAAATAAACTAAACAAGGGCTCATTAATGAAACTGAATTGATTTATCATTAGTTTAATGACTGCTACAATTTTAATCACACTATATTGGAAAAGGTAGAAAAACCAGCAGGTTGGCAGTCAGAAATTGAAAACTGATCGTATTTATATGCCAATACCAAGCCTTCCCATACTCATGTAGCCATACCACCACTAATACATAATAGAAAAGTACTAACAGACTCAAGGTAACTCTGACCTATGCCCAAGTACTGAAAAATCTGCCAGGAAAAAGCTGAGGGGAATCTCAAAGACTAGCCCCATGCCCCAATACAAGTTGTTGGGAATCACAAGTGTAGAGAGCACTGTTGCACTCAGATCCTGTTTGTGGGCCTTCCCATAGCCATCTGGGGGACCACTGTGAGAAAAGGATTATGTCAGGCTTTTGACCTGAACCAGCAGAGTTCTTATGTGTGTGGTTTCTTTGGTGGGGTGACAACTGGGTGGCTGGGAGGGGCATCAATGGAAGAATTAAATAAACATAGCCAAGATCAGACACAAGTCTTTCCACACAAACACACATCCAAAATGGATTTTAAAAATGATGACTCAACGATGACTGAGATTGCTCAGGGAGCACAGAATGCTACCTTGTTTAGGAGGAGAAGCAGGAATGTGGGGCGGGGACAAGGAAGGGGCTACAACCTCGAAGAGAAGCACTCCATGCTGCAACAGTTGCTGCAGGGCCCAGTTTGTAATTACTTTGCGTTAATGTTTCAAACAATCTCTTGTTCTATATTGCTTTTAATGCTAATTCCTGCATAAAACTTTGTGTGAAATAGTAAACTGGTATTTAGCACTGTTGCAGATTGGATCAAAACTATGATCTACAATTGAAGATACCAGAAAACGAAATAATAAAAAGTTCAAATTTTTACCTGATCATTCTGGATTGAAACTGGGAAATTGAATAGGAACCAGAGTTCTGCATTGCAACTTGTGTGGCCATTCCAAATTTCCAGCCCCTGAAAATGAATGCACACCAAGAATGTAACCTAGATAACAGGCAACAGTTCTTGTGACCATTTTACTTCTGTACACTTGTCAAGGACAAACACTAAATTCGTTTACTGAATACGTCTCTTAAATGTTTATTACAGCTGTTAACAGTGCTTCTGAATGCAGCTTATTACTCTACTACTAGGGGTATGCAAAGATCAGAAGATTCTACTTGTATCTCTAGTTTGGGGAAGCTGTCCAATTTGTTTTGCAGTTACTCTCTGTCTTTTCAATTCAACTTATTATTTGGGACAGAATTAGATCTGTTAAAGATGAATTTGTTCTCCTTCCCATTCACTATAATGGAGAATTTATAAAACAGCTATAACTTTTCTTTTCACAGAAGCAGATATAGTTTGCAAGTGTAGCAGCCTCTCCAAAGCAGATTTAATCTGCAAAGTTGTAAGCAGATACACCTAGGAGTTTTCTGGTGAGCTCAGTTCAAAGCGCTGGTGATGGAATTGGGTTTGGCCAGGGAACCAGATGATTCTCCTCCCCCACCCTGTGGGCCAAACTTGATAGGTGGGTGAAGCCACTCACTTGCCAGTCACCTGACTATTTTGAAATCAAACTGTGTTGGTAAATGCACAGCCTCACAAACTGCTTTTCAAAGCACTCTGCAAGTTTGCAATTGTCTCCGCAAGACCCAATAATTAGCTGATTGCAGTAGGTTTCGCAAGACCCAGCAAAATGCTCTGCAAGACTCCATTGTGGAAGGCTTTATCAAGATGTGCTATTCAGCTGATTGTTGAATGTTGTGAAACTAGTTTCAAAGCATTCTGCAAAACCAATCATCTGATTGTAGCACCTTTCACATGGGCACTTTGCACATGGCCTGGTGGGCCAAATAACGCCTACAGGCCAGAGGTTTCCCACCTCTACTTTAAAGACATACAGTCATACCGTGGAAATCAAACAGAATCCATTCCAGAAGTCCATTCAACTTCCAAAACGTTCAGAAACCAAAGTGCGGCTTCTGATTGGCTGCAGGAAGCTCCTGCAGCCAATCAGAAGCCCCGTTGGATGTTTGGTTTCCAAAAGAACATTAGCAAACCAGAACAATCACTTCCAGGTTTGCAGCATTCAGGAGCCAAAACGTCCAAGTTCCAGAGTGTTTGGGATCCAAGGTACGACTATATATTTTGAACTAAGTTAGAAGAAAGAGTACCTTCACCTATGTAAACTAGCCCATATGTTAATATTAGCTTTGGAGGCTCCGATTATAGGGCTGACAGCAACATCAATTTAAGCTGGCAGGCAGAAGAGAGAAAGTCTTTTCAGCTCTTGTTCCTTGGTTACAGAACTCCCTCCCTGCCAAATTATGTGGCCTCTTCTATACAACTGTTTAAATGGGCTTTAAAAACGCGTTTGCTTGTTTGTCTTGAAGGTCTTAATTGCTGCTGGTTTTGAAACTGTTGATATGTTTAAATTATTTTTATATGAACCAACCAGACCATTTGCTACACTAGTCAAGAAGTTCATAGAATTATAGAATCGTAGAGTTGGAAGAGACCCAAGGGTTGTCTAGTCCAACCCCCTGCAATGCAGGAAACTCAGCTAAAGCATCCAGGACAGATGGCCAGAGGGTGAACTCTTTCTTATAAATAGGTTTAGAAGAATGGTTCACTAGCTTCACTGAACATAGAATCTTTATTTAAATAGCTTACAGATTAGTTTAATCAGTTTAGCATTATATTGATGTGAGTCAATTATTACTCGTTCACTCCCTTTAACACTGGTAACTGTGCTCCATTGTACTACTTAGGCTTCAGAAGTCACTGGGTTGTATTCAAATAAATCATATTCAACAGTAGACCTGCTGAAATCAATGGCCAAGTTAATCACAGCTATTCATTTTAATGGGTCTACTCTTGAGAATGGATACAATCCAATAGGCATGAACCAATAACATGAAGGCTGTGGGTTATGGCTGGGCTTGACTACGTATGCAAAGAAATTTAAGCAAAGCATGCAGTCAGCTTGAAATAATGTACTCCAAGGAGAACTTTATCTGAATATCATCTTACCTGTCAGCTATCGCTTTGGCCATAAAGTAATCCTCAGCAATGTACTGTGCAAAAGCTATGAGTCCTCCAGCCTGGTCCAAGACATCTTTTCTCATCAAGCAAGACATTCCTGTTACACATTTGAAACCAGTTACATGGGCAGAAATATATGTCCTTGGATGGGAAGTGCCAAAATATACCTGTTAAAAGAAAAAGGCAAGGCTAAGTAATCATCTATGGTTCTCTCCTATCATGGCAGTTTTCTTTAAGACTTGCATTCTTTGCTTACCAATCATTATGAATTCTAATCAGTGCAGAGACAGATGCATAATTAGTCATCTTGAAATTCTGCAACTGTTTGTAAAGTTTTGCTCTGAAAAGAAACATCTTACCCTTATGCAACCATTTATAGCTATATAGTAACATCTGCTGCAAGCACTGCAGGAATCCCAAATGCAACTTTCCTTACTCAGGAAATTTCCTTCTACGATCCATAAAGCTAGAGCATCAAAGATCTATCACATGCTAAAATGGCAGGTATAGATCTATGAAGGTCAACATTATTCAGACAGGATAGAAGCTGTAGCACCTGCTACAGTAGCCTGAGCAAAATTTCTATAACAAGAGTTTTCTAGTAGAAAAAATGGAGAAGGATGACAAGGGATAAGATGAGGAAAAGAGGTATGACAGATAAGAGCTGGATGCAGACAAGGAAAGAAATGCCTCAAAATGTTTCTTTTCACTTAGTAACATTCATCTGAAATTACACTAAACAATACATTGTTTGACATAAAGTGTCAGGTCCGAAACAGGCTTTCCATGGCAAAAAGTGTTAAGACATAAAAGTTAGAACAGCAACACAAAAAGCAATGAAACATCAAATCAAGCAAGCCACAAATGCCCTGTGATTAGACCAGCAGCCGCTAAAGAAACTTTTGTTCCTTTACTGCTCCATGCCACTGCACATAAATTAAGTCTAGTATATTTGCCCCTGAGCAAAATCTCAGTCATGTCCGCAAATATAACAATTCACCTAAAGGAAATGTTACAGGCTTTGTTGTACTAACTACCAGTAGATCAGAATTCAAGAGTGTAGACTAATGGTCTCTCACCCCATATATTGCTTACACAAAAATACAGGGCGCAGAAGAACAAAACAAACAACATGTGGACAAGAGAAAAAAGACAAATTCTAATGGATTTCTCACTTAAATGTCATTTGAAAGCCCAGATGAAAGGGCTGCTGCTACTATCCTTTTTCTATATGGAATTGTAAGCAATAAAACATTTCAATGTGTTTATTCTTCAACGATAACAAGTAATCTGGAATTTGTTGGAATTTGGATTACAATAGAAGTGAAAGACCAAAAACCTGTTATTAGTCATGCACATTTTTCCTACTCAAATAGCAGTGCTTCTTCTGTACTTTTTGAGCTTGAAAATGTGACTAACGCATGGAAATTAAGTATATAAAATAGGAGGAGTGGAACAATTTGGAAAGAAATGAAGAGGACAAAAAGAAACTCACCTGTTCTAGAGTGGCAGCAAAGCCCTGTCTATCTGCAACATAGGGCAGGCCATGGACCAGTCCAACTTTTTCAGTCATTTGATTGGCCATATCAGTTAGTGTATCTGGCGTTACTAAAAATGAAATGTGACTGTGGTTTACATCCATGGATTAATGTTTTTAAAAGTTTATGGATTTACATCCCAATTGTGTCACAGAATGGTAAAGGAAGCCATTTTCAGCTACTCCCCATCCCTAAATTTGCTCTGAAGGGCATCCAACCCTCTGCAGAAGATTTATGGGGGGTGGGGAGCTCAGGGGAGAAGGGAATTGCTTAAAGTGGCTTCCCTCCCATTCTGCTGATGGAAGATTTACCATCCATTGAGCAACACCACTAGATACAATCCTTATATGTTTGGTAAAATATTGGTCTTCTCAATAATATCCAAGTTTTCAAACAGCAGTAGATTATTACATATTGTTTGCAAAATAGTAACAGGAAAGAGTGATAATTCCAAGAAATCCTTTACTCTTTGTTTATAGTTGGTGACAATATTCTGAATATGAGTATTAGGTTGAAATCACTGGGTGGGGGGGAATACTAGAATCAGGGTTGGGACCTGGATCCTTACCTGCCCCCACCCACCTGTCAATCACCTGACATAATAAGTCAGGCAACAGCTTCAAAAGGGATCACTCTTGGCATCAACTACTGATCAGTGCTGACAGCATGCTGCTTCACAGGTATGCTGTCAGCACCAATCAGCTGACTGACAGTGCACACTTAAAGGCCCTCTTTGAAGTCCATCCTCAGGCACAGTTTGGATTCAAACTGCATCTGCAGACAGACATTTTCCTCTGTTTGCAGGCATGGTTTGAATCCAAATTACAGTTGCAAATGGACTTTAAGGCAAGCACTGATGATGAACTGATCTGTGGAACTTACAAAGCCCTGCTCTGCTTTTTGTAAGCACTGCCAATCACTGATCAGCACCGCTTTAGCCCATGTTTCCATGTCTCTATCTGCCCACACCTCAAATCCAATATGACATCAGGTGCAGGGCAGGTGAGGAGGCATGTGGGCTGGAGGTCTGTCCCCCACTGCAGTAGAAGATAAAGACAACCATTACAGACGCTTCAATTTTAAGAGTAAGAGGCAAACTCTAAAATTTAAATTCAACTGCTTAAAGTGTTGCTCAGGCCTGGAAGTGTTGGATCTAGAAGACTTTGTCAGATAGTTGGTTAAGTAATGTGTCTTCCAAAGCTCTGGCCAGCCTGCTGACACCTACCATAATGAGATCTTGATTGAAACAGCAATAGTAAGAAAGGAGGAAGCTTGCTGTTTATTTCTGAGGTGGATTTCAGTATCCCAGTAGCTACAGCAAAACACTGGGCCATAAAAAACATTTCACAAGATGCACCCGCTACACTAGATACAGCAAGCAAAAGGTGCAAGATGTTCTACTCTAATGCTGATTCAAGAAAATACAGGTTTATTACTCAAGCTTCATCCAAGTGTAATACATAAAGCAAAGCTGGCAGCAGAACTAATCCATGCTGTAAATTGAGAGAACTTATTTTCCATTTACATGCCATTCCTTATAATACCAGTTGCGGACGACTCTTCTGGCGAACCAGAGCAGTGCACGGAAACGCCGTTTACCTTCCTGCCAGAGCGGTACTATTTATCTACTTGTACTTGACATGCTTTTGAACTGCTAGGTGGGCAGGAGCTGGGACCAAACAACGGGAGCTCACCCCGTCGCGGGGATTCGAACTGCCGACCTTCCGATCGGCAAGCCCTAGGCTCTGTGGTTTAGACCACAGTGCCACCCGCATCCCTAAAGACAAAATACTCTAATCTTAACACAACTTCACTTGTTCACATTAGAGCCACGCTATTCTTGCTTTTCCCTTCCCCTTTCTGTCTATGCCCTACTATTGACCAGTTACTCTGAAATCTGAATTCTAAATTCTCCTGTCTTTTTTACCTGTCTTACTTTACTCTGTCAAGTGCTATGCACGTGGATAGTGTTCAAACAGCAGCAATATCTTTAAGAGCACGTAATGAGGAAACATTTGTTAAAAACCTACTACTGCTGATGGTACACACTTACCTCTTATACCACTATCACAGATCCATATGAAATCATACTTGGCAACTTCATACGCTGGCATTAAATTGTTGATCTTTGGGTTTATTCCAACCTTCTTCCCACCTGAAAAATACAAAATTTTAGTTATTTGCACAAATCATGCATATGTTTTCAGAATATACTGCTCAGTAGTGAGGTGAGGGCTGAAAACTACGGCTGAGGTTGGGAGCCCTCCTAAATTACCACCTGGAGTTTGGCATGTGGGGACAGCAGCAAACAGGCCCTGCATCAGCAGATCCTGCATCAGCAGCTCAGCTGACACTAGGGCCCACCAGGACTACAGCATCCTTTTGTTCTTGCATAGTCAGAGGCAGCTGGTCAACTATGTACAGAATTACAGGTGCTCGTTTCATTCTTTTTGCTTTAATACATACCACGCTTTTCTGCAACAAAATGGTGCTTATTCTCAGGTAAGCATATTTAGCACCAGGCAGGGCGTTTTTTCTAAAAATAAATGTTTAGAGGTGCTCTCATTTTCTACTGCCTCTCAATGAGGCCAAACTTAGTTTCACAAAAATGTTTAGGGGTATGCGTACCCCTGCATCCCCCCCCCAGAAAAAAAAGCACTGGCATCAGGGCATCAGGAGCAAGTTCCAGGAAATCAAGCAAAGGGCCTTCTCGGTAGTGGCGCCTGCCCTGTGGAATGCCCTCCTATCAGATGTCAAGGAAATAAACAAGTATCTGACTTTTAGAAGACATCTGAAGGCAGCCCTGTTTAGGAAAGTTTTACATGTTTGATGGTTTATTGGGCTTTTAATTCTGTTGGGAGCCGCCCAGATGGGAGGGGTATTATTATTATTATTATTCTGTAATCAAGATGGTGCTATGATTTAAAATGTGAAACTTTTTCTTTCTTTTTACAGGGTTAGCAAACTGTTTTACATTTCTCTCTTTCCTCTAATATATGATGTGGGGGACAGGGTGAGAACAGAAATGTTAAAATTGTGCTTCACAAGCAAACTAATTAATATGTGGAGCTATCTAAACCACCACCACCCAACAAAGCCATTAAGTCCTGGTTTAAAATTCCCCAGTTGCACCAGTGATACTACTCTGCAAACAAAAATGGAGATGAAAGGATACTTCTCAGCTCAACGTTAAGGTGCTCTGCTATCTGACCAGGTTCTCAACCTTAATGTTACATTTTGATCTAGCTGAGGAGACAATAGTCGGCCGATTCCTAACATCATCGTAAAGATGGATTGAGTAAGACTGGGATTGGGAATCAGTGATAGAGCTCTAGGATGTTTCTGCATAATCTGCAGACGTCTATGGATGCCTGCAGCAAGCAGCACAGAGACATAAGATAAGATAGCATCTTGCTAAGTGCATCCACATCTCTTAAATGGTGCTGCTGTACAAATCAAGCCCATCATCTTCTATTTACTAAACAGCTCAGCTGATACGACAATAAGCAATAAGGGGCACGGTCAACTTCTCTATTTTGCCACTAGGTGTATTTTGTTGGAAAGCTGAGAATAATATCATCCTTTATAGCAAACATGTTTGCAAACACCTTTGCTGCATTTCCACAGCTGATTTCCACATATACTTGCAAGACATTTTACAAAAGGAGTGGTTAGAGAAGAGAAACTGCAGATCAGGTTCCCTCCCTTTCCCTTTACAACAGAGAACTTGCTGATACAAAACTTAAAGAAAATTTAAAATGTAAAGAAAGCAGCCATTGTCAACGGAGATCCAGAATTGTTACTGCTACATGGATGCTTTCCTGAAAACTCAATTTTTCTTAAAAATTGTTTTGTACTATTTTAATTATATAATTGTACTTTATTGTTAAATCTCACTGTGAAATGTCCTGGGATATATTGAAGGAAGGACAGTATACACATACAAGAATGGGTGGATAAATAGGGCATTCAAGCTATTTCCATTTGGAACAGTGTATGACAGAGATACATTTCGAAATGGTAGGAATCTTTTAATTCTAGATTTATATGGAAGGAGTCACCTGCACAGAAAAGTTATTTTCAGCGCTGTTTGAATTTGATTTACTGATCTTCAACTCTGCAGCAAGAATGCTTTACATATTTCTTGACCAACAGTACTTGCATATTAACATATTAAGCCTTTTTAAAAAATATTTTGGGTTCTGTGCCAACTGGTCCAATCTATACAAAGGCAACAGCATGACAGAACACTTTCCTCACTCACCTATAAATAGCCTCGCATCAACATTGGGATATTTGCCAAGGAGCTTTTTACACACATCAATGGCAGGATCATCATGATCTTGTACACAAAGAAGCACTTCAAACTGTGAAAAGAGATACAGTGCAAATTGAGATATATATATATATGAGAAAACAGTTTAATGTTTAATGACAAGAATAAAAAAGGAGAAGGGTGTAAGATGTAAGATATTAGATATTACACTATCTTGTTTGTGAAAGCAATATTCTTAAGCTTTCCCCATGAGAAGATAACATTTGTTTCCTCTAGAAAACCTTAGACACGAGTTTTTCTATAAACAGAAATGGAACTTCACAAAAGGTTTACATTTCTCACAGGAGTTCTATGTGCGCTGCTGCCATAATTTGCCCAACAGTTTCCCTAGTTGAATAAAAATAAATAAATCTGTTTTCCATGAGTCCTATGCCACAGAAATCCTAGAGCAGCAGCATTCAGATAAGTTGATATAAAACAGAATGTGCCAGTGCTTCCCTTTTCTTCTTGATAATGTCTTATTTTATGGCTTCACAAATTCAGCCACTACTAATGCAGCCATCAAGCCCTTTCCCCTTGCCCTCCAGAAACCAATGAAATGCATTCATTCATTTCAGGATGTGACTGTATCTTTTGTTCCAATTAGGAAAAATAATCAAGAGACATGGAGTAACAGTGCAGACTTAATTTTACTCAGAATATACCGGTAATTCAACTACTTTCCCAGAAGAGAGCTGAGGTGAGTAAGATTTTAACATAAATATCACTATACAGTTCCTGCTTACCCAAAAAGCTTCTGAAAAAATAATAATCATACCTAAGATGGGTAAGCTAACGAGGCTAGATATATTCTACATAAAGTATATACTGCAAATTATTCTTAAGTATTGATTTTGCATAAATGTGAATGGGGATGGGGAAGGTTGATCTTAACATTCTGAATCAGCATTTTTGATAGCAGACAATAATGTTTAACTGACACACCTTTCTAAAATTCTACCATTACAATAAATGTCACCATCACTTGGATTTGAACTTAGGACCAAAATACCTTAAAGACTGCTTGGGCCCTTCTATCTTAGCTCAGTCACTGAGATTATTTGGAGGAGTGCTGTTAGTCCCCCCGCCCCCCAATGTTACAAAGGCCCAGTTAGCCTCAGCCAGAAGCCAGGAATTTTAAGTCAACAGTCCCATACTGTGGAACATTTTTCCAGGAGATTTAGGAGAAACCGTGCATTTGACTTTCAAGCTAGAAGACTTTATGCTAACAGGCAAATATAGCTGTTTTGAGTAGCCAATCGTTTTAATTATTGTTTTCCATTGCTTTTAGTGTTCTTTTAAATGTTTTTTATATAGAGGGCATTATATAAATATTTCCATTTAAAAAACAACAACCCTGAATAATGTTGTTCTAAGAATGTTGATTTTCTTACATTGCAGGGGGCTGGAGTAGATGACCCCTGGGGTTATCTACAATTCTATGAAACTTGTGATGTTATACAAAGCTGCAGTAAATAAAAGTTTAGAATCTGGGCCAAATATAATACAATATCTAAAAAGAAATAAAGTATGGCTCTTCTCATACTGCACTTATTCAAATTAGCTCTTCGTGATATTAGGACTTTCCCCCTTCTCTTAGGAAACAAGCCAATCACTGCTACCGCAATTTTAAGCACTAGAGAAAACCAAGAAAAATAAAATTACAAGAAACTGTATCCCAGAAAAAGAACTGAGGGATTGTCAGATATTGCCAAGATTCCGGGTAGCACATTGTAACTTTATATGCTACAGTGCTTAGCTCATCCAGGGGAATTCCTTCAGTTCATATAGGTCAGTATCCGCTAAGACAGATGTGAGTAAGAGCACTTGGCCAGCAAATTACAGTTCAAAGCATATAGTAGGCAGGTCTGAACAAGTTTTATGTAGTAAGGGAAAACAACTGACCCCGTACTCAAATCACAAGTTCTGGGAAGACGCTGTCAACATCTGTGAGCTTACATAATACATCTACAACATTAGCTATCTTATCAAGAACAAATAAAAGTAAAACATGGATTACTGGTGCATAAAGTCATTAAAATTCACTGATCACTTTTGCCAGACCCACTGAAATGAACTGGAGCTGGGCTGGCAAAAACTCTATTCCTAGTGCTTCTGCAAAAGATCTTTCTGAGAAACACAGTATTCTGTACTTGGTATGGAATTAGATGCGTGCTACAACCTATTTTGGTTATCATTACAGATGCAAAACTTCTGACAGTAATCCGCAAGGGTTACAGGACACACAGACACACACAATCTCTGAAGCAGCCATCTCTACCTAGTGTGGTGCCCTCTAGATGTTGCTGGACTACAGTTTGCACCAGCCCAGCCCATTGGCCACACTGGTTGGGGCTGATGGGAGCTGGAGACCAACAACCATTGGAGGGCACCAGGTTGGAGAAGGCTGCTTTGAAGTATTATGCATTTTAATATTCCATTAGGCAAGAGAGAAGACCAAGAGGATAGCTTTTAAAAAAAGAAGACTGTTGATACGTACTTTGGGATAATCCAGTTCAAAGAAGGTTTCCAAGTTGTTGATAAGGTTTGGATCAACACCCTTTAAAGGCTTCAGAAGTGAAACACCAGGAAGCTTGCTATATGGCTGTTTGTCTGTCGCTTTCTTGTTTAGGTGTAAGTGCCTAAAAAAAGAAAAATGCTGGTTAGGAACACTGGTTATTTAAACATTCGTATTTTGCTGTTCATTTACAGTTTGATATAAGGCTAATTACAGTTAAGTTTCTGTAGTGGAGACTGCATAAATAGCTTTCTGCATGCTGGTGTGCTCTAAATAGCAGGTTAGGACGCAAGGGAAACACCACATCCAACAATTCTACAAGTTTATGTACAGCACACACACCTGACTGCACTTATCTGACTAGGACCCCAAAGGGCAGAATGGATGCACAGGACCAGTCGAGATCTCTCTTTTTTCAGTGCCCACCAAGCTATAGAGTCAATCAGCGCTATGGGACCATTGCTCTTCATTCCCAACAGCTGAAACAGGAACTGTTTGCAGAAGTAAGAAATGTGTTTTGCAGATCACAGTTGTTGTCCAAGGAGGTAAGAATTTTAAACCAATTAGCTTGCTAATGTTGAATCCCTCCTCTGAGTTTTTTACAGCAATAGATATTTCCTCTCTATACAGTGACAAATTTCCCCAAAAATATTTTCTATTGGTTACAGAAAAGGGTTTTCCCTCAAGTCTTTAAGCATTGAAGAAAAGTGTTAAATTTCCTCTCCACACCTGCTCTGATAATTAATTATCAGCCATCTCCAGCTGACAGGGTGTTTTTTTATAAAAAAAATGCACATAAAATGCCAAGTGGCATTTTATGTCGCATCTAGTTTGGTGCAAAATCATCCTAGTGATTATACTAATCATGAGTTATTAATCCATATCTATACTGTACTTTAAACAGGCTCACACTAAAAAAAGGAGATGTTTGTAAGTCCTGTGTTTTTAAGTTGCATGCACAGAGGCTGGTAACTTTCTAGAACAGAGCACAAAAACATTTGGGGAGTTGCCATAAATTAGATGTCTGTAGAGTTTATACTGCAAAATAACTGTTGAGGTTTCCTTATAATGTAGCAGAAGGTTAACTATGAAAGGACCCGCAAACCCAACCATTAATTTACCCCCACCCCTTTTACACACTCTCCCTGAAGTTATTTCTACAGCCAAGTCAGCTTTCCAATAATATTTTCCAGCTGCTTATAGAAACTCATCTAAAAAAATGGCTTTATCACAATAATGTACACATTTATTAATGTATTTTGGTTTTTAGAACAGCTGAAATGTGGAAAACAGAATCTGAAACTGAGATATGAGTACCATTTTCCCCCTCATAGTCAAAAGAAGGTAATTCTGTGCCAGATTCATGAGATGGTCTGTTTTTAAAAGTATGTTATGATCTTTCTGATAATGTTTTATGGTTTTTATGATATTTTATATTACGTTATTTTTGAATACCACTTACAGATTTTTAAATAAGTGGTTTAGAAATGCCTTTAAATAAGTAAATTTGAGGCAAAACTGTTCCAGCAATTTGGGATGCAGAGAGTTGATGGAGCTTAATTAGTAGACTTGCAAGTAGGTTCACAAATAAGCTTAGGTTACAAACATTTTTAGCAGTCCTCCCACATATTTCTGCCTTAAAGGATTTGTATGCTCTAAAAGAAAAGAACCAAGTTTCATAAAGCTTCCATCACAAATCACAAAACCCAGCAAGCCCAGCATTTAAAAACCTTCCATACAGTGGTTGGAATATCAACCCTCTTTCATGCACCCTTTGTAGCAACATCCCTGCCAGGAGTGTCTCTTTCCACAAGGCTATCCAAGAGGAAAAGAGGAGCCACATCCATGTCCATTTAAGTCAGCATTAAGTGGCTGGTCATTTATTCAATGTGCTCAATACGTTTTGGAGTGGAATTGTAGATCAGAAGTGTTTAATTAAGAAAAAAAAAGTTGCTAAAATATTGGTGACAAGAAATGAAGCATTTGTCCCTTTTGCCAATCTCAAACACATTAACATACTTTTCCTCAAGGTCTACTGCAAGGGCCAGGAGACAGATTAATGCCAGAAAGGAGTTTTAGAATTAACTAAAACTCCCTCATTACTAGGTTTGCCATGTATTAATTCTATGAATGGAGTGCCTTATTTAAACTGACTATCTACTCCTAAATACAGGGTGGCCCAAAAGTAGATATGCTGCTTTAGAATCCACTTTATTTGTTCTTGACGCAAGTTCACTGTCATCATTCACAATATCAGTTACGAAAAATAATCATTTTATCTGACTCTATCTACCATTCTTTCCAACTGCCAGCCTGAAATTTAACTGCCACTTTGTTGTGTGTCAGTTATGTGTACATCTTTTTAAACGCAGTTTATACTGAAGAATCTGTTTATCTTTTCTTATACTGTACTGGAGGACTCTTCAATCAAAGGGCAAGTTGCAAAATTCCTAAATGCAGCTATTTCACTTGGATAATCAAATATTCCCTTTTGATTTTGCCTTTTGATCCCCCCCCCCCCCGCTGCCGCATTACAACTTTATTTTATTTGTGGTCAGCTGACCATAAAGAAATTATTTTTAGATTGAAAATAAATATGGTGCTCAAATGGCCCATCACGAAGTTTAGAGTGCAGGCATGTTAAGGTGCTAGAGGTTCACCTTCCTGATACATTATATAAATGGAAAGCACACCTTATGGTGAGGCAGAAAATAGCAATAAAAATCACTTACACCTATGGAGTTTGCATTACTGTTCCAATTCTCCAAATAAGTCAGATTGTACACTATGAGAAATGATGGAAGAAACTGAGAGAAAGCACAGGAAGACTGGCTAATACTTGGATGATGTAATGTGGATGCCTAATAAACATGAGGTGCAGCAGTTCCACACAAAACACTAATAGAAGCATAGCTACTAACGAAGTTTTGTTTAGACAGGCTGTTCTAACAACAGAACATCTCATATTTCTCTAAGGATTGGCACATTGTTTGCACAACCATATTATCCATGCAAAGAGGGCAGTATTTCAACCAAGTTTACTTCGAGCAGATTCACTAAAATGAATGTACATGGCCAAGCTGTGTCCACTAATTCCAACAGGCCTACTCTGAGTAAAACCTATATGAAAACCATTCATGGTTTGTAACCTCGAGATTCTGCACTTTAAGCATCATCTAAATTTCCAAACATCAGCAGTTCAGCCATGTTCTGACGAAGACAATTTTCCATTACGTGATGCATGCAGAAGGACTCCTCAACACAAAAGTTAATAGGGCAATTCTTCCCTTGTGTCCATACTAAACATGCCATTGCATTGGGGGTGAGTGACCAACAGACCAAACCTAACTACAGAAAGCAGCACTTAGTTACTGCTGTTCCAAACTCTGTTCAGGAGGAATTTGAAATATACCACCATTAGTGTTGGGTAAGTTCCACTGCGTTGCTAAGTCACATCACAGAGCTGAAAGGGTTTAAAAGCAGGTGCAAGTCGCTCCTGGCCCTACCCAGAGAATGCCCTTTCAAGAATTAAGGCCATGTTCTGCCAGTGCTCAATTCCATTGAATGAGCTAAGTTGAGGGATTTATGCTATCTTAGTCCCAGTTTAGCCAGGCAAGACCAAGACCCAAATACAAACTCACTCATCCTGGCAGATCTTGTGTTTGGATTGCACTGAAAGACTCACAAATAAAGGAATGTTCAAGTCACCACCCTATACCCTATTATGGTATATTCAGAACAGCTTAAGGAGACACCCAAGTACTTGCCATCATTCTGCATATTGTGATAACCACAGTCCAAAGTCAAGTGACTTTGTGAGTGTGTGCACACCTTTATGATAAGCAGGTCAGCCCACAATTAAAATTATTTTAGCAAACAATATCAGGGCCTTTTCTGCGATAGGCTTTGGATTTGAGATGGGCTCCAAGATAAAGTGCAGGGATGCACTTTTCTCACTGAAAGATATGCAAGACTTAGCTGGCCAGCTTTTCCAAGATTTGTATGGTTCATGATGTTTAATTTTAAGCATTATGTTTGTGATTGCTTTTTATGTTACTGTTAATGATTTAACAAGATGCACTGAGCAGATGGAGAAGGCATTTATTATCTCATCTCACTTGCACCATATTTCACCCACTACAGAGATATAAACAATTTTAGTCCAGCTTATTTTTCTTGCTAGCAACTTTGGTTTTGCATGACTAAACTGAAATCCTGTGTATTAAGATGATGTTGCAAAGTGTACAAAGGAGGTGACTATCACATCTTTTCACCCACACAGACTTAAAGCAAACCCTGTCTGGATGACAGTACATACAAAAAAGACCTATATTTTGAAAGGATTTTTTAATTAAAAAAATAACCCTGTTTCCAACTAACTTTACCTAAGGGTCAGCTGGAAGAGTCAGTGACCCATTCCCATAAGTAACCTCTTGAGTAACAAGGAGAGGTGGAACCAAAAAATGTTCTATATTGGGGTGGGAAATCTATAGCCTTCCAGATTATATTAACCCCATTTCCCATCAGTCTAAGCCACTGTGACCAAATGTCAGGGACGATAAGAGTTATGATTCAGTAGCATCTGGAGGACCACAAACTCCCCACCCATGCTCTATAGCTTGACTAAGAACCTTTGCATGAGGGACAAATGCTTATTAGTAGTAACAATATTTCTTGGCCACCCCCCTCACCAGAAAAATCCCAGGGCAGGTTACAGTTTATAAAAGTACAATATAATTAGAACAGCAACAACCACCCCAATCAAATGTAATTCCATACGAAACATTAAAGGGAGGACACCAAAACCAATGTTTAATTCTATTCAGAGGTAAGGCCCATTAAATCATAGGGGAAGGGCTGTGATTCAATAGTAAAGCACAAACTTTGCATTTTTCAGAAAACTGGCATTTTTTCCACCCTACAGTCAGCCTGGACTGGGAGTGAGGACAAAGGGAAGCAAACATTTTAGGCTTAGCTGAAAAGGGATTATCTTTTAAGACACCTGTCGAATGCTCCCCAAAGCTTTCTAAACTGTAAAGGACCAATCCCCTTCAAAGGTTAAGAGCATTATTGGAGATAAAGTTTTGCCATAGAGGATCAGTCCATCATAATCTGTAAACTACCGCAGGGCGCGCCCCTTTAACCAACAGGTGAGGTGGATAGCATTGATCAAAGGTGAATTTTGTCCAAGGGCAATTTCTCCCTTAACCAATGCTGTTTTCCCATGGATCCTCACTGTGTACTCAAAGCTGCCAGATATTTTTAAATAGCAAAACAGAAACAAGTGTACACAGGTGCACTTTTCTTAACCGCACCTATATCGGAAAAGAGAGTCAAAAGAACCCAGGAGAGTTTTAGAAACAATTTGTGTTACACCTGAGGACACAGCATTCCAAAAAGGGAAGAAGTGCCTATGGGGTCATGTTAGCCCTTGATGTGATCTAATGCAACTCTCCAGTTGGTGTTTAAAGACAACAGCTATTTCATGCAATTTTGGTGCATAAATAAGATATAAAAGGAATGGCATAGATATAAAACATGACAAGTGGTAGAATAATAGAATCTGGAATCTCAACACACTGTCAGCCGGATAGCCAAACTGAGCCCCCTGCATTTTTTACACTTGCATAACACCTAGGATAGCCTAGGATGGTATTACAGAGCTTTGCAAACTCCAAAATATTGTTCTAAAGCCCCTATGCTGCTTCTTGATATTCTGGTAAGTAGATCATACTTAGGGTATATGTGTGTGAAATATGCAAGCAAAATTCCATTTTAAAAAACTTCCTAAGCAGCGGATTTCTGTAGAAAACAAGCTCATCTTCATTATAATAATTTTCCATAGAGCTGGTGCATGCAAATGAGGAAGTCCCTAGTGAAATCACTAGGGAGCTTAGGCAAGCCACTATTCTCAACCTCCTCTCCCGATTTGCAGCATGGGGGATAGTAACAGTAATGTATCTTATGGGATTTTAGTAATGCGTGTGAAGCTATTCTGAACGTCTGAAAGCACTATATAAATTATATTGTTATTGTATAAGTTGTTTCCAAAAGGTCTGCCAGGTTTTGAATAAATCTATATTTGAAGCTGCACATGCTAAATTATACCCACATGGAAAATTACAGCATAAAACTAATGCAGTTAGGACTGAAATCTTTTTAATTATCTCAAGAGAGAGAAAATGTTACAGAATGTGGAAAGAATGGTACAATACTGGGATTTATCTAGTGGGAAAATATCTTCCCAAAAAGTATTACACTACCCAAAGGCCAAAGTTTAAAAATAGTGTTTAAAAATATGTGTTTAAAGTGTTTAGAAATATGCTAGAAACAAAGGAAGAGACTAGAGAATAAACTGGATGGTTAGGTGAACTGTAGGGAGCTGAAATGCTGAAAAGAATGAACAGTGGACGCTCACCTACTTTGGTTCATCCTTTACAAAAGAACACTAAGAGAGAAGCAGATGATCATGAAATGATAAGGACATTTGCATCAGGAAAATATGAATTCATTTAAATTGGAATCACTATTATGTATATATGATACCTTAAAGGGTCTCAGGGAAAGGGTTTTAAAAAGAGAAAAGCCAAAAATTACAGACTTAGTAATTTTATTTTACTTTAGAAGATACCAGGGAAATATTAATATTCAAACACTGGATGAAACTGAATACTAGTAATCAATACGATGTGGCAGACTAGCCCATTTACCTTACTTGGAAAAATAATTGGTCCATTATGCAATTCAGCTCCTACAATGTGCACAGATCCCAGTAAGTTTTTTTTATTTCAGTTCCAGATATCAGTCTCATAAGCAAGCTTGAGAAATTACAGAGCTGACCTCTGTAATTACATGAAGATGGAAGTACAGAATGTAATACACAACAAACTGGGAAAGATGAATGCGGGAATATTAAGGATTCAATGGTATTCAGTATCCTTGCCAATAACTTGTTGAATTAATTAAATGTATGCTTGCCAGACTTGCAGAGTAAAAGTTAGAAAATGAAGTGAAATATCTAAGATTATCTTTTTAAAAAATTAAAAAACACCTAATCTTGGATAGATTTGCAGACAGTAAAAACTATACAATGACATTAAAAGGAAAACACCAAAATGCACTAGGAGAGAACTAAAAGCCAAACTGCTCAATCTGTGGGAGCAAAATCAGCTATCTAATTTTGCATTTAGAAACAACTTTGAAAGCAGCCACAAGATTATGAATTTGACTGGAGCAATAGTGCTGAGCAAGAGTGTTCAACCTTTCCCTGATGCTCTTTTATGGGTGTAAATAAACTCCAAAACTTCCATTAGCTCAGCAGCAGAAAAACAGAAATAACTAGAACCATAATCCCGTCTCAGAAGGAAATAGAAACTGTACAATAAAACCTGAAAATTTGCTGCGCTCTTATGCCACAGCATCCTAGAAGACACGGGAAGTCAGGAAGGAATGGAAATGCCAGAAGTGCATAATCCTGCTATAGAGAGTGTGTACAACCTTCTATTCTTACTACCAGGGAAAGAGACAGAAAGCAAAATATAGCCATCCAGGCCTTTTTGTCTCTTTCACTCTAGCAGCAGGTGAGAGGCAGAAAGAAATAAAGCAGCCAGCTCCTCTGTGTCTGTCTGACTGGGTGAACAAGTGGGTCTGGCAGAAATTGCATCCTCTTTCTGTTCCTATTGCAGGGATGGAAAAGGAAGACAGTCCTGCCAGTTGGCATATTGTATGCAGAATTCTACTTAAAATGGAGCTCCATTCTGGAGGAACCATGTAAGAACATCCCCATCTTCCACAGCCCAGAATAGACAGAGGGAGCAAGCCCTTTATGCAATCTTCAGGAGAGACTCTAAAGAAAACTCACTTAGTTATTTCTCTCACACTTGCAAGAAGGGAAACATTCTCATCTACCTAATCCAGAAGATATATCTGTGTAAAATAGGACTAAGACTATCCTCCAGGCAGTTCCCCCATTTCTACAAGGGGGCTGGGACTGCACAAGAGCTATCCCACTTGGCCACCTAGAGAAAATTATCAGAAGCCTCAGAAGCAGTATTAGAAACTAGATATATAAGCTAATCACCAAATGGCACCCTAAACAGAGTTTGTGGTTGTCACAATGAAATGTCTAGGCACCTTTTATTTTTATTGTTATTCATTTCGTTTCTATACTGCTTTATATTCTAAAGAAAAAAATCTCAAATTGGTTTACAACACATTAAAACACCAAATAAAGCAACCCAGAATAAAACAAATTCAAGCTTCAAGAAAAGTATTTCAGATCCTTCTCCAAGGGACATTTTGCTTTCTCAATATTTATTTACCTGCTTAATTTATATAGCTGCCCCATAGCAAAAGTACCCTAGGAAGCCATTGTGGGAGAGTGGTTAGCGTGTCAGGCTAGGACCTGGAAGATCAGCCTCAATCTCACAGAGTTGTTGTAGGGATTAACTGCAGAGGGGGAGGGGTGAACCATGTACTCATTGGAGAAAAAGGTGGGCTATAAATGCAATAAATAAGCTCTTCTGCTTACCTGCTTAAGAAAGCTGGAGAGGCCAGCCAGATGGAGATGTCAGTTACCAACCTGGCATCCAGAGATCTCCATATGGTCGCAACTGGACCCACACTAGTCACAAAGCACACCTGGCTAATTTCTAATGCTGATCAGAGGACTAGGCAGTTATTTGCAAGCCTACAATACTGCTTACTCAACACAAGTAAGAATTCTGCTCAAGGAGAGTTTATCACTGGTGGCCAAAACTGTTCAATACTTTTTAGGGTGATGGGCAGGACTGCTCCTCTCAGCCCTTAGGATGCTATTCTGAGACTCTATCCACCTTCTACTTTCTCTACACCAAATAAAGCTCCTTGCATAGTATGTGTGCAATAAATGTAACTTTTATTAGCAGCAACACATGCTGCTACAGAGGAACAGATCGGCTCAAAGGATAGCAGTAAGGCACCCAGCACTGCAAGGTAGGCAACCAAACTCTGCTACGTTATTCATTCACTTCCATTCACTCCATTCCCATCCCCCCTTTTAAGCCTCTAGACTGAACATAAATACCTTTATGGGGGGGGGGGGTATTTGCTATAGAAAAAAATCAGAGGGCTGTTCACAAGTCCCACCTTAGCAAGATGTTATGCTCAGAAATATAGTTGTTTTATGAAACTAGTGATGTTGCAGTATATTACAGAAGTCAACGTATTTTATGTAGGGAAGCACATTTTCCTTTCTTACAATACATTAGACATTCATTTAATGTTTCAAGAGCTTTACTATTCAGAAGCATCTCCTGTCTGTATTAACAGCCTTTTGAGTCTGATAAATTAATATAAGTACCATTCTGGGTTTTTAAAAAATCTATTCTTCCTTAAAAACTATTCTCAAGCATTATTAATGCTAGAAGAGTTACCATTTTTATTCGGATTTCCTCCTAGATTTATATCAGCATCCACTTATTTGCCATCAGTAATTACCTCATAATGCTAGAGAAATATTAACTGTAAAAGAAAACTGCAAGAGCAATCCAAATGCTTTTTGTCCAAATACATATAGTGAAGCATAAACCCTCCACTTTTCTTAAATGAGAAGCTGATGCAGGAGAATACAATCCTGAACAGAGTACCTTTGGGCTAGGGGCTCTTTCTCTCCAGGTGATTTTTCCCCCTGCATAAATTGCATGCCTTTCAAGCTGTTTATCTCCAGTCCCCACAGGGCAAAATACACTAAGATCTGTTATCTTTCTTCTACAGGGAAAAGCAACTGAGGGATAATACTGAGCATTTAAATGGCCTTAAGAGAAAGGATTAAGTAAACCACCTTCCCCTTAACACTATTCTGCTGTAGACAGTAATCACTACTAGCCACTTTTCACTATTATTTTTTAAAGGTGGGTGTGCTCATTTGGAACTAGAGCTACTATCACCCCAATGTATAGTCAGCTCTGACATCAATGAAGGGGGATAAGTGGGATGCTCCTCATATCCCAAACAGATCAGTACTGCAAGCGCTTCTGATCAGCATGCATGTAGAGACCCAGAGCAAAGGAGTGTACCCATTCCTACAGAGGGACTACAGATGAGTGTTCTAGTATTCAATTGTCTTTTTAGTACTGTATCCCTGTCCCATATTTTGTTTTAATTCAAGCACTTCCCCAATCCGTTATCAGTGAATCATAGTGTTACATGGAAGGAATTCTGTATAAAGACAACCCCATTTTTACTTGCACACATCTTGTAGCTTAAAGTGCACAAAACTGTATGATGGTGGTTTTAAATGCAGCTTATAGGGCTGTGTTTATGATGTCTGCAAGCATGGTCTCCCGATTACCGCTATGCTGTTTAATGACAACACAATCCATGCACTATTAATATCAAATTAAAAGGATTCCAAAATGGGGTGATATTTAGAAAATGCAGGATCAAAAGGGTAGATAATACATCTAAATACATACAGTATAGAAAGAGTCACAATTTCGAACAGACCCACTATATAACTTAATATGTGAAAAGCATTTAAAACAAGTATTAGAAGCCAATATTTTTATTCCCTGAGCATTACATACCCATTTTAGGCCATTGTCCTACACCTGAACAACAAATTTATCCATTTTATAATAGAACCATTAGCTATTATAGTATGAGAGTGCTATGCTACAAATTATCTTAAAGGTGTTCAAATAAGATACAGTTTTTGCTACAGTACTTGGCTGTATTATTGCAACAACCATTATTTCTGGAAACATTGTGCATATGTTTCTTCCTTGTAGACTTAAAGAAAATTCAGCAAAAGCAGTAGCAGATTTGTTTTTAACTTTCAAACTGATTGATAAACTGCTGAAGAAATCACTGACAGGACTTTAGAACTAATAATCCTTGAAAGCAAATCATTTAACAGTAAAAGGTCAGTACTAATACTCAGACATACAGGGACATATGCATTTTCATGCACAAGTTTATTTTTGTGCATTACACAAACCTAGTATGCTAGCAGCTACCTGCCCTCATATAACCACCATGCATAGGTTGCTATATGCATGCTGCTCAAGGAAATTTCAAGCATGCTAAAGAGGGAGTAACAACCCCACTGGCATAGTTGTTTGTATGGCAATTCCTCAACTGCTTTCTGCAGCTGTACTCATATATACACTGCATGATAATTAGAGTCATCCAAGATGTTTGATGATGATGGATATTTTTGTTCACAGTGCATTAACTTTTATTAGTGTGCCATACACACCAAATGAAAAGGAACATTTCCTTCCTATGAACACCACACCAAAAAAAGTTCATAATTAGCAGATCTGTTTAATGGCACCCTGTTGTAATTTTGCAGCTTAAGTCCTATTGCCTTTCACAGCAGTTTTTAGCAAACCAAAAGGGAAAAAAGAGAGAAAGCTTTGGCAGCACTTTTAAGGCAATAGCCAACAACACACCATAGGATGCAACAAGACATCCCCCCCCCCTTCACCTCCGGCAGCCTCCCTAACCCTGCAAAACAAATTTGGGAGGCACAGGAGGCTGCAGAAGAAGAAATTTTATTGCACCGGCAGAATTCTGTTGCACAAGAAGGATGACACTCCTTATGCTAAAGTTTATGACAGAGTACAGAGGAGTGTGGTGTATTGCATTTACATCTGGAGGCTTCCTGGGAAAACCAGAGAGATCTGTCACAATCACAGTATTAAGGCTCATAAATAGGCTTACAGTTCCAAACTAATTATTGCTTTATTATCAAATCATTACTACTTCAGTCTTGTAAACACACACATACAGCCATATAATTTTTCAACAAGAGTCCCCAAAAAGGTCAAACAAGAGAACTTTAGTGACACTGGATTCATTTCAATACATCATGTGTAAGTCAGGAATCCATCTGTAATAATTAGTAGCAGGCATGAGTAATCCAGTGCTTCATTCAAGTAAGAATCAACACTAACAAATAGTAATCTCTCAATCTTTTTTCCTATATGCTATTTTCTTCCTCAAACACACCACCAAATCAGTTTCTCAAGAACAAAACATATTTTACCTCATAAAATATTCTAGCCACTTTTTCTCTCAATACAAAATTAATTCCATAATGTATCAATATTCCAACATTTGCTTACATCTCCACTGAAACATAGCTATGAGTAGCAATCTCTTCTGTGATAAGCCAAAAAAAGGTGTAATGTACCGGTATATAACATTGCACTGTCACATCTTTTTGGCTCCTCACTGAGAAGCAGAACATGTCCTACTTTGAAATCATTTGTTCTATTTCACACTTTGCTTGTGCAAGCTGAAGTAAGCATAGAAGGACAATGAACACCTGTCTTCACAGAATACCCTTAAACGTATGTATGCACAATGAATCCATGCAAGGTTGCAGTGAACATTAAGAGCATTATATGACTATAATGAAGAGTGAAGAACACACACATGCCTGCAATATTAGCACTAACAAGGAAACCAGAAACAAGTTGTCAGCTACAGCCTTTACTGCAATGGGGGATGAATACAGGCACTGCCTTGAGCATCTAGGAGGAAAGACAGGCTACCGATACAATGACAACATAAAATTCTACTGAACAGCATAAGTATTGGGAAATGGGAGTTAAGAGGTAGGCTTGCAGTTGAGCACTGATCTGCCATGGTTGAGTCTGCCATGGTTGCTCCATAGCCATTGCCTCTAAATAGGTAAGACAGGTGAACAACAACAGAGCACAGTATCATAAAAATGTTCGTTATGAAATTCACATGCATAGACCACCTACACTGCAATAAAGGCAACTGTATAGGTGGCCATCTGGACAGACGCCATAAGGAACAGGTTCAAATAACATTGCGATACAGTAAGGAGCTGAGCTGGCAAACAAGACGAATTGAAACGGACTATGATTATGACTATCACCATCAACTCTGTAGCTGGCACTCCACTTGTTCCTCTGCTCTTGCTTAGCACAGGCTATGTTAATTCAAAGGGACAGCGCAACTACAGATACACTGAGCACAAGCGAGGTTCACTGGTGTGTGCAGAGCATGCGTGTGAAGGTGGGAAGAGAAAGCCGGCTTGAGGTATGTGGCACTTTAGGGGGACAGCCATAGGACCCAACTCCTAGGGCCCCAAGGTCCTTTTGGCCCACCTCCCAATAAAATTGTTGATGGGTGTTGTCGTTCAAAAGGTGTGCATGCGCCACATCAGTTATGCAGGCGCAGCTTACCTCCCCCCAACATTTCATTCAAGTTGCCCTCCCCCGACCCTGCACCCCAGGACCCACATGAAAGGAGCGGGTGACTTTCGGCGATGGCCAAAAACACGAAAGACTGGCAAAGCAAGGGGACACGCCTACGGTTACAGGGCAACATTCATGCCTTTATCAGTATTATGGGCTGGGCTGGGCAGGGCAGGGCGAAGCAGGTGCCTCAGCTATGTAACCAGAGAGGCAGGAAGAATGCATGGAGGTTTCTGAAGAGGGAGGAGGGAAGGGGGGCCAAGCACACCGAGATCCAGAAACCTCAATCCCCCCCCCATAGGAGCCTGGGGGCACATTTCCACCTTCGCCCACCCCCCAAATAAAATATCTGAAGGAGCCAGAGAGCCCTCCTCCCCCCACACACAAGGGGATGACCATTGCCATTCAAATGGTGTGTGGCCTTGTGTTCGATTATGCAGGGCGGGACTTACCTGGGCGACCCCCCCCCCTCAATATTTTGGCACCACCCCAAATTCCCCCCTTCCTTCCTTCCCACCGTTTGTGGAAACGGAGGAGAGACAGGGGAGGGAGGCCTCACTTACGTGTAGATGATGGACATGAAGTGCATGAGCCACAGCACCAGGAAGAGCATGAGCCCGAAGATGGCGAGTCCCTCCAGGGCCAGATCCAGCACCGCCATCCCCGCCGTGGGCCACACGCGGGAGGAGGAGGAGGAGGAAGGAGGAGAGGGAGTCGGTCCTCCTCAACACGAGCAGCGGAAGAGTCGCAGCGAGGAGGCCCCTCCCACTCGCCGGCTGCCCTCACGTAGCCCCTCAGGCGGACGCCCACCCGCCTCCTTCCCTCTCTGCCTCGCTCCTTTCTCCCGCTCCTCCTGCTGCTGCTTCTTCGCCTGCCAGGCCGCTTCCTCCCCTGACGGCGGCCGCTTCTCCCTTCCTCTCTCCCCCTCCCTTCGGGCTCGCTCGCTCTCGCCCCGCCGCCTCCCGCTTAGCGCTACTGCTACTCCTGCTCCTGCTGCAGCCCGCTCGCTCCCGCGCGCGACTGACTGCCTCCCCGCTGAGCCAAACGGACTTGCCTCGCGCCCTTCGCCCCGCCCCGATGCTGTCAGCCTCTGAAGCCACGCCCCCTCCCCTCCTTTCCTTTCCTTTCCCCCTTCTCTCCGTTTAAGTTTCTCTTCCCCAGGCGCTGCTGACGTCATCGCCGTCCGCTTCAAGGGAGGCCCCGCCCCTCAACCGCGTCACAGGGAGGGGCGGGGAAAGGCCACAGAGAGAGAGTGAGTGAGGGTGAGTCACCGTGGGCGGGAAAGGGGGCGGTGATGTCATCCGCCGCCGGACCGGGCGGCATTCAGCCCCGCTCGCGTGGGGAGGAGAGAGGGGCGCGCGCGGGAGGGGAAGGACAAGCAGGAAGGGCTTTGGTGTGTGTTTTTTTTTGTCCTTTCCGTCCGTCACAGTGCCAGGTCTCCACCGCCCCACCTTTCCCAGATTTTACACACATGCACACACATTTTAATGTATCTCTACACAAACACGTACATGCACACGTGTGTGTGTGTAGACACACGCACACATATACTCATGGGAGTAGCCAGGGGTCGGGAGGGGTCAGCTGCGCCCCTGAATCAAGTAGATAAATAAAAATACTTGTGGAAAGATTTGGGCAGATTTTTCTGGGCACTTGGGGTCAAAAGCGTATGGAATCAATACAAATCTGAGGTCCCCCCCCCCCACAGAAAGCCTGGCCCTCTCTAATAAAAATCCTGGCCATGCCCACACACACACATATGTATTTTATATATATACCCACACAAACACATTCTCTTGATGGCTGTAGTAACACAACCCTCTCTGTTGTAGCAAGAGAGCAAAGAGCAAAAGGAAGTACCTGTGCCATTCCAGAAATTAACAGAAATCCCACAAATCAATTAAAGGAGAAACCTCATATAGCACTGTAAAAAGTCTTGTAGGGGGCAGACAGAAAGGTGAGTTGGTGGGTAGTTTTTAAAGCAGGAAACCCCACACCACACATGCAAATCCCTCATTATGTCCTCTGTAAGGGAACCCTTTCCAGCGCAGAGCCTCTGACAAAGAAAAAGTGGATTGTTTGCTGTAGCAAAACTCATGGTGTTGCAATGGCACATTTAAGCTTAGTGATTAATATGGGTGAGATGTTTTTCTGGAACTCCTCCTTCTTCAAAAGATGTGGCAAATGGGATAGGATGGTAGATAAACCTGGTGAACTTAAGACAAGCCTGCTGGCTTTGGTCAGTGGCTTGTCTGGTTCAGTTCCCCCATACATCAGGCTGTGAGGGGTGTATGTGGATTAGGTGTCCTTTCATCCAGCTTAGCCAATCTCCTGCTGGCTGCCAGACATGCAGGCAGAAGGCCCACTGGTGCAGTGATTGCTTCCAGATAGGGTTTGACCCTACTGCCATCTTGTCTTTTTTTGCCATGGCTGCCATGAGCAGCAGGCGAGTGGATGGAGAAGTGTTTTTTCCAGCAAGAATGGGAGTTAGAATCGCTTCCTTGGTCATGCTTAGCGCAGACCCACTGAAATCAATGGAACTTAAGACTGAAACCCTAAGCCCACTCACTAGAGAGAAAGTTCCACAGAAGACATGCCTAGGATTGCGCTATAAATTAGTTATTCTAAGCATAACGATAAGTCTAGATTCAACCCGCTGAACCCAAGCTGTTTCCTTATCATTGCGTTTCAAAATCAAAATCTGTCTGAAATATCCTTTGTGGTTGAAACAGAGAGGAAGTACATCATCAGACTCCCACGTTAGGCAATAGCTTGCTTCTAAAAGGACAGAAGAGAAGAAAACCACCCAAGTTTCATTCAACAGCAGCCAGCTTCTGGAACACATTGAGTTAGTAGAGTAAGACTGAAAGTCCTATCCCATTCTTGTTGCATCCTCTAAAAGGATTGCTCCAAAGGAGTCAGGAGCCTTTATGTATATGCTTCCACCACCACTACTATGACTGTTGTTAACAATATACTGTAGGAAGAAGCGGGAAGTTTCCTTGTACAAAGCAGTTATATATCTCCAGTTTCAAACTGTAACCCCTTCTCTGAACTCCAGTGCTGCTTTTTTCCATTTGCTTCCCACTTTCAGCTCAAGAAATTTAGACAGCAGCTTTGGAATTTTGCAGGGACCATTTCTAAAATGGAAATGGCATTATCAGAAAGATGGGAGAAGGAGGGGCCAGGGAATTGTGAGTTCTGAGGATTGAGTATGATGACTGTGGAGGAGCAGGAAGAATGTTGGTAGGATGGTTCACAAAACACCTTATCAAGACAATAATTTTGAGGAAGAACTTGAAAAGGGAGAGGAGGTCTGAAAGATAAGAGATTGGCTGTTGCAAGCAGGAGGAGCACCAGAACAGAAAAAGGAGTTGGCGTAGAAAGAGGAAGCAGAGTTCCAATTATAGATGGGGGGAAAGAGCAAAACAAAGGCAAATTAGAAAACTACAAGCCAAGAGAAAATTCAGAAAAGGGGCAACCAAAATGATTAACAGGCTGGAGCAACTCACCTATCAGGAAAGGTTGCAAATAGGAATGGGCAACTCTGTTATTTTTAGTTTCTCTCAGTTTCTTGTTTCTCCTATCTTAAAAGTTCAGTTCTCCACACTACCACAGCTGTATGATTCTTCTAAAGTCCTTACAAAAATGAACCAGGATTTCAGTGTAAGTGCCTCCTAAGGTATTGTATGCATTTTTGCCCAATATACACATTTTTGCACAGCTTATTTTCCCTAATATTTACATTTCCCATAGTAAAATGCATTTCTGCACATGATTTTCACTAACATATATGCATTCTATGCACACTTTACCTTAGTATGTTTTGGTACATATTGGCTGGAGAAATGTATTGCAGAATTTGGAAAACTACTAATTTTGAACAATGGTTGTGTTTTGGTTTGCATTTGTTTCAGAAGGTGTGGATTGGGTAGACTGACCTTTAGTTGTGAACTGAATCAAATCTCTCTCCCCCCCCCCCCCGGCAATCCATAGCTGCAACATGTGGGACTTTTTGTTTAGAGAGAAGGGAAGAAAGAGGGGACATGGAAGTGGTATATAAAACTATGCACTGTGTAGAGAAAACAGATAGGGAAAGGTTTCTCTCCTTCTCCCATAATACTCGAAATTAGGGACATCCAGTGTTGGAAAATTCGGGACAAACAAAACAAAGCAGTTTTTCCCAAAGTGCACAGTTGAACAATTCACTCCTATAAGACATAGTAATGACCACCAACATGGATGGCTTTAAACGAAGATTAGACATATTCGTGAAGACATATTCGCTTTAAAAGAAGATTAGACATATTCGTGAAGCCACAATGGCTATGTTCTACTTCCACTGTCTGAGGCAGCAAGCACAATAAAGCACAAGACTCTTAATCTCAGGGTTATGGGTTCGAGACCCAGGCTGGGCAAAAAGATTCCTGCATTTCAGGGGGCTGGACTAGGGGATCCTTGTGACCCCTTTCAACTCTACAATGCTATGATTCTATGCTGGAAACGGCAAGTGGGGAGGGAGCTGTTGCACTCAGGTCATGCTTTTGGGCTTCCCATAGGGATCTGGTTGGCTATCTAACATCATTTATACTCCAGATACTGAAATCAATTATAAAACTTATAAAGAACGAAATTAAAAATGACTTCCAATTAATCTCACTGTATTTTATATATAGTCATACTAATTTTGTTGTTTCTTATATTGTGGTTGTTTGTTTGACTTCATTATTTGTTTGCTTGTTTGTTTGCTTGCTTGTCAGTTTTCCCATAAAAGTATTTATTTTAAATCAATAAAGATATACTTTAAAGGGGGGGGGATCTGGTTAGCTATCATGAGAACACGATGCTGGCTCGATCCAGCAGGGCTCTTTTTATGTTTTTAAGAGAGGAGAAGCAGTTCTGGGCTGGGGAACTTTGTTCACTCTTGATGGAAAATCTAAAGCCAGTGTCATAGATATATCAGGAATAGCCACCGACTTACTGATATATCCGAATTGCATGTCCAACTGCATACCATTTTTGTGACTGTGACAGATGCCAATCTGTAGCTGGTAGAGACGTCTTAAAATAGAACACTCTTTGAGCCTCATGTTGTTACCAAGCTGACGTACTGCTTCATAAAATAGCCGCCTTCTAGGCCTGTCCTGCTGCATGGCTCAAGGAAGGGTCACCTGACCACCAACCCTTATGGATGAATCCATGCAATCCAGATCTCAGGTGGGGGGCTGGACGAGAAGGCATTATGTTACTGCCAACTCAAGCAAGCCAGCAAGCCAATGTATTTCACTACGCAAAGCACACCCCTCTGCCTATCTAGGATGAATTAATTCGTAAATCATCTAGAATGCAATTCTTTCCATCAATGAATACCAGCATCACTTTATCTGTATGCTACCTTTTCCACACACACAAAAATTCGGCTCAAGTGGCTTACAACACTGAGACCGATACATCACAAAATCTACCGTGAATAATTTCATAGTAACAGCAGTAATAAGCAGCGATATATTCAAAATGTAACAGCATACAACAACATTTCAAGACTAAAATGTAGCAACGTTATACCTCCTGGCAGTAGCAAAAATAATAAGGGAGGTTCAGTAGTTGTACCTGAGTCCTAAACATCCTAGTGTATACAGTCTACAAGCCTTCTGAGCACAGTCAAAATCCATCAAGCCTTCTCCTCTTCTTCTTCTTCATCATCATCATCATTTAGTATATTTGCATCTTATCTAAAATTGTTTCAAAAATAAAAAGGGAGACAAAGTATCCTTAAAAGCAGCTAGCTCACTATAATTTATTCACAAACTAGTTCAAGAGTGCTTTTGGTCTTCTTAGCTAATTATGTTTTTAGTTCAAAAGGGGAGAGAGGGAGATAACACCCCCCCCCTTCACCATCTTTGTCCTCCTGGCAGTAGGGGCACTCATGCTTCCCATTTCTACTGGGTGCTAATTCCCCCATCCCCCTTATTTTTATATGGAAGATGCAACAATGAGGGTGGGAAACACTGAAGGCATCTTCTGGGTAAATACATAAATAAAAAGAA